GGATGCAAATTTCCGCCTTCTTCTTCTTGGACAAAATTGCACCTACAAAGCAATTAACACCTTAGGTCAAGGCCAAGAGCCTCACGCACCCACGATGAATGGGGGGGGTTTGGCCGAAGAACCTCCGATGCCAAAGTTAGAATTTAGAGAGAAAAGTATTTTGAGAGTTTTTTGGGATTTTTGCCAAAGTGTTGGAATTAGGGCTGGAAAAAATTCCCGAAAATCCCAAACCAAACCAAAAAAATCCCGATCCCAAACCAAAAAAGTCCCAAACCAAAATTCCCGAAATTTCGGTTTGGGAATCGGTACTCTCTCCTCAAATTTTCGGTATTCCCATACCGAACCAAAATAAAAAATATATATATTATTTAATTTTAAATATATATTTAGAATTATAACAGTCCTTAGATTTGGTTGAGATTTAATCTCAACCGTAGAATCCAAATGAAACCCTTACTCTCTCTCAACCTCACCACACTCTGCTCTCATCCTCAACCAATTTCGCTGGATCTTTCTCCTCTTTATTTGCCGTCTTCAAATCAGGCCACTCCACATCACACTAGTGAGTCACAGACTCTCTCTAGACTGACTGCATGAGTGAATGGCAAAGTCCTAGGGAAGAAAGAGGACTAAGGAGGAAACATCGGGTGGTATGTAGGAAATGGTTCACCAGCAAATCCTCTACAGTCTGATGAGCATCGGGTGATACGAAGCCAGCTGCAAAGTGTGGGAGGTGTTAATGAGGTCTGTTGGAGTTTTGTTGTTTGTTTGAGTATGTTTTTTGTTTAGTTTTGCTTTCGGTGGGCTTCCAAGAAAAGGAGAGAAGACATGAAAAGTATGCAGAAAGAAAGACGAATAAAGGAGTAAAGGAATTAGGTTTAGTTTTGCTTTTGATTTAGTTAAGTCCTGCAACCTCTCGGATCCTTCTTGATTTGCCTTCTTGTTCTGCTTCTGTTTGCATCAGACCATATCTTTCCTTCTTGGTCAACGTCTACGTTCTTCTACCTCAATTTTCTGCTTCTAAAAAAAAACCCTTTTCTTGAGCTTGCTGTGTGTTCAACTTCGTCAAACTTTGCCATTCTGAATTTTGATTTTGCTGCATTTGGTATGAAATCCTGAATTTTCTGAGTTTATACAAATCCCAAACCGTCCCGAAATCCCGAATTTTTTTTGGGAATACCGAAATTCGGGAATCCTGAAATTTCGGTTTGGTTTCGGGTTGTAGAATACCATTCCGAAAATTATTGGTTTGGGATTTGGGCATTGGGTTTCGGTATGGGATCCCATACCGAACCAGCCCTAGTTGGAATGAGTGTTTGGTGAAAATAGGAGCCTATTTATAGGGCTAGGAGTGACCGGTTTTTCAAGGGATTTGTGGTTATGGTTTTTGGCTTAATTAGCCAATTTATTGGCTAATTAAGTATGAAAGAAGTAAATGGGAGGTTACAAAATTATTTATTTGTATAAATGGGGTAATAAAGTGGAGAAAAGTGAGAAAGGTGAGGATGAAAAGGAAGTGGCCGGCCCTTTAACAATTTTTAGGTTAAATTGTATAATTTAATAGGTAATTAATGGATTAATTGGGTAATTAATATATTAATTTACCAATTAATATTATTTTGGAGGTTACTTTGCAAAAAAGGGAATTTGATGAGATGAATATTGAATTGTTACCTCTTTGGAGCATTTTTTGAGCTGCTCGCGTGTAGAAATCCCGGTGTGCCTCTAGGGTAGTTTGGTCTTCTTTACTAAAAAATCCACGTGTCACCTTGTGATTATTTTTGGCTCTACAAATGCCCCCACACCTGCTGGGCTGGTCGTAGGAAAGGGCAGCAGCTGTAGAGATCTTCTTGCTCTAGGAAACTTAGGACTGCTTCCTATCTTGATGTAGATTCCCTCTTTAATGTGAAATTAGATCCTTCTAGGAAAAGGAAATAAATTTCTCTCAAAACCTATTTAAGTCCACCTTAAGTGGGTGTTGGAAATATGCCCTGAAAGTCAATCTTTAGAAGAAACCTTTCAGGACAAATGAATCGATGTATGGATGACTCTTATACATCAAATGGCAAAGACACGAATTAGGACTATCTCAATAAACGATATATGTCCTAAATAGTGTATCCATGGATAATGGATCGATTGAAGAAGTAATCTAATGATGTTAGACTACAGAGACCTTCTTCACATAATCATTATGTCCAAAAGGTTCCTAGTCATTGGATTGTCGGAGGGAAACTGACAATGCTTAGACCGGTACATACTGTGTCCGCTTCAAATGGAAGGATGGAAAGTCTCATCCCATTCGTGTTGTGACACTAAGACAAGTATGTAGGTGCTCATTAAGAGAATGAGTTCACTGAACACAATCGAACGAGAGTACTTGCATGGAGGTCTACTCACATGTCAAGCAAGTAACTCTAATGGTTGGAATAATGTAAGTAGTCCTTTGACCTGAGGCATCGTCGTTGTCTTGTGGCTAAGTATTTAATCTTTGATTATGTCAAAGTCACCCCATTCGTGGATGTCCACGGCATAATTGGGGTTAAGCCACTTAGTCATGAAGGCAAGTGAATGCGCAACAAGGAATCTCTAATCCTCGATTAGAGAGGAAGAATACTCTAACATATGATTCGGGAATCTTCGGCCGAAGTATCGAGCGTAATAAAGGAAAGCGTTCCTATACAACTCAATAGAATCATATAAGAAGGAATAATCACATTAGGGGTTTGACATAATATATCCATACCCTAGTAATGTGATTGAGAGTATTGTTTTAGAGAAGGATCGAATTACATTGTAATTCCAACTGAATAGGTTCTCCGAACAACTTCTACATTAGCTTGGGTAGCTATGACATATGGTTAGATGTCACTCATAGCTTGTGAGTTCTTCTAAATGATTAAATGTAGTCATCAAAGAAGAAAGGTGAATTAAAATGAAGTTTTAATTCACTAAGTGATTGAATTAAATATAATCAATTGGATTGAAGCCAATCACCTCACTGCCTTGCTAATTAGAACCTAAAATGATTGTACACCGATACACTCTTGTAGTGAGTAATTAATGGATGATGGAAATAATTAATTGGATTAATTAAGTGTTGTGATTAATTTAGAAAGTCTAAAGAAATCATAAAGCGATAAAAGATCGTTTTGGGCTTAAAGAAACGTTCGGGTTTAATTGGGCCCATTGGGCTTTTATTCAAGCATAGGATGACTTGAAATAATAAAAGCCCAAAGCCCAAACCAAACACTGAAGGGCCGACCACTTAAAGGGTTTGGGAGAGATATTTAGTCAAGTTGTTGACTAGGTTTCTTTTTGTCTATATAAGGAACTTTATAGCACAAAGTTCATTAGGGTTTTTGTGTGTTTTTGAACAACAAAGAGGCAAAAGAAAATAGCTCTCTAAAACCACAAAGGCCGGCCACCTAGAGGGTGTATTTACTAACAATCTTTCACCCTTTTGGTTATTCCTCCATCCATCTCACTACACTAATGGGTGTGGATCTTTAGAGGTCTTCTCCTTTGGAGACTTAAGGAGAACCTTGGAGCACTCTTACTAACAAAGTGGAGGAGGCAAGGAGGGAGGCTAACCTCAAGGACTTCAAGGAACAAAGGGCTTAGAGGTGGTCCATCCTTGGTCTCAAGTCTAGATCAAGAGGTATAAGACTAAACTTTCACTTTGTTCTTTACTAAAATGTTTTGATGCATTATATATAAACCTATGAACCTTGAAGGGGATTTGCATGACTATTGCTTTGATATTATTTGATAAATTGCTTCCGTTGCTCATGTATATAAATTTTGAATTGTATATGCATGCTAGTCATTTAGAAATCCCATGTGTTAATCTCATATTTTTTCCTTCAGTGGGTTGTTAAATCAACTTTGGAGAAGGATTTATTCTACCCTACAAGAGAAAGAAAGCTTAGAGGATATTTGTTCCCCCTCCTCTAGTAATCTTCTACATCATGTCCCTACAAATGACCGTCTTTCGTTGCTTTGTTTGTCTTCTCCGCGCCGCATCGATGTAAGGAAAACTTAATTCTCCTTATCTTCTTCTTGGGAGGTGCTGCCACGGGGCAGTCGTCGGGGCGGTGCGGCACGTCGGCTCACAAGGGCCAGGAGTCGGCTTGGCATGGGCCAATGAGGTGGTGTGGCAGGGGCCATTGTTTGTGTTGCTTGACTTGATTGAAGCCAAGGATTGGCTCGACATAGGTCGAGGAAGGAAGTGGCGTGGCATGGACAACGGTTTGGGCTACCACGTCTGGGCTGTTTGCCAAAAATGAGGAAATTGCTGGAGTTTGATTTCTCAGCTGCCGTAGATGGAGCAGTCAAGGATGAAGCTGCCAAGATTGGAGTTGCTAAAGATGAAGTGTCAGATGAGTGAATTGTTAAGTGTAAAAGTGGCTGCTGCTCCCTAACCATTTATTACTTAATTGATATTTAAGCATTCGATCTTTTGAACTATGTGGCCTTCTCGCATTGGAGAGCTTACCTAGATGGGTGTCAAGGATTTAGTTTACCCTCTCGCACTATAGAGTAATTAGTTTACCCTTTCGCACTGGAGAGCAATTGGTTTACCCTTTCGCATTAGAGAGCAATTATTTTAACCTCTCGCGTTGGAGAGCAGACCCATATGGGTGTCGGGGAATTGGTTTACCCTCTCGCATTGAAGAGCAATTAGTTTAACCTCTCGTTCTGGAGAGCAGACCCTTTTGGGTATCAGGGAATTGGTTTACCCTATCGCACTGGAGAGCAATTAGTTTAACCTCTCGCACTGGAAAGCATACCCATAAAGGGTTTTGGTAGTTGTTGTGGACAGCAGTTGAGCCAAACTTATGAATAACTTCTTGAATCTTCATTGAGAATAAAGAAATAAATCAACTGTGCTGGAAGGTAGAAACTGCATAACAAACTGGATATTCTTCGACTTGTGAAACCTTGTTCGTCGAGCTACTTGAGTCTTCGAACTTATTTAGAAAAAATCCAAACGTGGTTCAGGGGGTGATGGGAACTTCCCCTGCTTGTGTAGGCCGTTTTGTTGACCTGTCAAGATACTCGTCGCATCGGCCCTCATTTGTCACCTTCTCAAGGTACTGCTTCCACTTCAGGCAGCCGTTGGTAGTGTGACCTAGTCCTTGATGGAATGCGTAATATTTTGTATGATCCAGCCTGGTAAGATCGCCTTTCATGGGTGGCGGCAGTTCGAACCAAGGTCCATTCTTGAGCTTATGGAGAATTTGGCCGATTGGAACTGTGAACTTGGTGAATGTTTCAAACGCTAAGTCTTCTCTGGTCGGGGAACATTCCATGTGCTTCTTTTCTGACTCATTTTTGTTAGACTGCTTGGCCTCGTCCCATAATGCATGTTTTTTTGCCAAGGCACACAAAGCTGCTAGGGTCAATTCTTCTCCCATGATCAATTTTCCGAATAAAAGATGTTCGGTGGGAAGCCCATTTCTGAATGCTGCCGTTGCTATGTTTTCGTTGCAGCCAACAATCTTAGCCTTCTCCATTTTGAACCTCTTGACATAGTCGCGAATTGTCTCCCGAGGGTCTTTTACGATGCTGAAGAGATGGTCAGATGTCTTTTTGATTGAGCGGTTAGACGAATACTCCTTAGTGAAAACAAAGGAAAGTTCGTTAAAACTCCAGATCGACTGCGGTGGTAGAGTGTGAAACTAGTCTTGCGTCTCGCCTTGTAGAGTTGTGGCAAAAATTTTGCACATAAGCGCATCGTTGTTCCTGTAGAGGATCATGGTACTGCGGTAGATGTCGATCCGGATCTTCGTCTCCCTTGTACGAAATGAAGTGAGGCATAGTGAACCCGCGATGTGGATCTATCCACTCGATCCTATTCGTGAATGGTGACATGCTTATGTTGGTCATGTCTCATCGAAGCGCATCGTCAGCAACCTCGTTTCGTGGGAAATTACGCAGTCGTTCAGTTAGGAGCCTATCAACTTCTTCTTGAATTTGCCTTTGCTAGGGCAATGGAATTTTCGACTGCCCCCAGTCGTGACCTATGGGTTTGGGCCGCTCTTCCCTATGCTCGACTCCTCCATATCGCAGCTGCGATGCATGTGGCATGTATCTAGCAAGCGAACGGGCCGTTCGCAGGCTGCTGGTTGAACTTGAGTTAGATTGAGTGACTGCTTCTCTCCGTCTGCCGTGCTGCATACTCCGATGTCAGGTGGATAATGCTCATTGCGAGCCTAGTTGTGAATGAACATTTCGCCTGGAAGGTTGTCCATGTTGATAATCGGAGTGTGACCTTAACCGTGAACGTATGCTAGCCCGTGGGCTTGATTAGGAATGCACGCTCCTCCGCGCGTTAAGACGAGAGTATACGTTATCCCAAAGACCTAAGCAGGAGTGTAAACTACCAGAACTTTCGGATCGTGGCTGGTTGATAGGTTGCTTGCCGGGACGCTAGTGGAAAGGTTCATCTGCCCTTGTCCTACTTAGGGACACCTCGTCTAGGGTACGTTGGATCTCGGTACGTTGCAAGAGTTGATTCACCAAGGTTGTCTGTTGTGCAAGGGCGCTCGTCAACTCTATGACTTGTCGAGACAAGTGTTGGTCGCCATTTGGATTGGAAGAGGTTGGAAGAAATGTGACTCCTTGAGCAATGGAAGTGTGGTAGACTCCAGGTGTAAGATTTGAATTGGGAAATGTCAAATCCTCGGAGAAATATGGTGAAAATGCCCCCGGCTTGATGGTTTCTCAAGATAGTTGAGACATTCTCAGGCCAACTTGAGCTGCTTGGGAAACCATGGGAGGCAGGGCTGCAGGAGCAGGCTGGATTACGGGAGCATGCTGGGTCACGGGAGCAGGCAGGGCTGCAGAAGCAGGTTGGATTACGGAAGCAGGCTGGGTAATGGGAGCAGGCTACTCAATGCATGGTGCATGTAAATACGAGGCTTAGGCTCGAATTGGAAACACATTGGGCTCACGTTGGGCATGGAGTGACATGGTTCGGGCCGTGGCTTTGGTGGCGTGGGCCTTGGATAGCACGGCTTGGGCTGTATGGGTGGAGCCATGGACCTCGCCGCAGGTGATTGCCATGGTGGCCACCTCGGTGGTTGCCATGGTGGAGCCTTGTGGTGGTGATGCCGCTCCTCCTAAGATCACATTCAGTCTCGTGGATCGCCGCGGTCCCATTTCTTGAATATTGGAATTTTCTAAATTTCTAGCCATTGTATTTCTCTTTTATGTTTCTATCAAAAAATTCTAATAATAAGAACGTACGAAAAATACAACTGGACTAGAAAATAGAGAAAATAGAGAAAAAACCTTTTTGCACGAGAGTTTTCTACGATTGTGAATCTCAACTCTCAATGAAAGCACCAATTAGTGGATGCAAATTTCCGTCTTCTTCTTCTTGGACAAAATTGCACCTACAAAACTATTAACACCTTAGGTGAAGGCCAAGAGCCTCACGCGCCCATGATGAATGGGGGGGGGGACTTTGGCCAAAGAACCTCCGATGCCAAAGTTAGAATTTAGAGAGAAAAATATTTGGAGAGTTTTTTAGGATTTTTGCCAAAGTGTTGGAATGAGTGTTTGGTGAATATAGGAGCCTATTTATAGGGCTAGGAGTGGCCGGTTTTTCAAGGGATTTTGTGGTTATGGTTTTGGCTTAATTAGCCAATTTATTGGCTAATTAAGTATGAAAGAAGTAAATGGGAGGTTACAAAATTATTTATTTGTATAAATGGGATAATAAAATGGAGAAAAGTGAGAAAGGTGAGGATGAAAAGGCAGTGGCCGACCCTTTAACAATTTTTAGGTTAAATTGTATAATTTAATAGGTAATTAATCTATTAATTTACCAATTAATATTATTTTGGAGGTTACTTTGCAAAAAAGGGAATTTGATGAGATGAATATTGAATTGTTACCTCTTTGGAGCATTTTTGAGCTGCTCGCGTGTAGGAATCCCGATGTGCCTCAAGGGTAGTTTGGTTCTCTTTTACTAAAAAATCCATGTGTTGCCTTGTGATTTTTTTTTGCTCCACAATTACCTTTTCAGAATTGTTGAGGATAGATTTCCGATAAGATTTTTAAACAATCACGTTACGCCACGTGTCACAATCTGAAGACAATCTTTGAGGATAGATTTTGATCATATTTTTAACGAATGACAGCATGCCACATGACATTATCTACAACCTAATCCTTTCTTTTTCCTCCATATAACCCACCATACAGAACCAAAAATCACACACCAAAATCCAAATCTCTATCATTATTCATAGTTTTTGCTTCCTTCTTATAGTGCCTTCTTCTTCAAGGATGTTGTGGGAAATCGAGGAGCAAGAGAACGAATTGTTTAAGCAAGGGGAAGAAATGTTCAATCTCCAGGTGACCCAAAATGAGATGGAAGACAAAGAGGATGAGAAACATAGAATGAGAGATGAGGAAGCAAGAAGCCAAAGAGCCTCACATTCCTATCGAGTAATCCAAGCTTTGGCTCAGATTTACAGGCCCAGCCGTTCCACAAACCTTGATAGAAGCAGGCAATGACGAGATACAGATCTCTTGGACGATTATTTTGTCTGTGACAGTGCATTCCCTGATACGTACTTTAGAAGCCATTTTAGAATGGAACTACATTTGTTCAACAAAATCATGACTGTTGTTTGCAACCATGATTCTTATTTTCTGCAAAAGAAGGATGCTTTTGGTGTTACGGATCTCATTCCTGAGCAAAAAATTACTACTACCTTGCGAGTGTTTGCATATGGAGTATCTGCAGACCAAGTGGATAAGATAGTGAGGATGGGGAAATCAACCATTCTTAAGTCCCTGATGAGGTTTTGCTTCACAATCAAATCTATCCACACCGCAGAGTACCTCCGGAAACTTACTAAGATGGACCTACAAAGGCTTTTGAAGAAGGTCGAGATGTGAGGTTTTCCTGGGATGATTGGAAGCATCAATTGTATGCATTGGACCTTGAAAAATTGTCCAAGTGCATGGAAAGGAGCTTATGGGGACATAAATTGAGCAAAAACTGTCCAAATGCATGCCCAATCCCCAGTGTTCAATGATGTCCTCCAAAAAAAAGCACCAAGAGTCACGTACTAGGTCAACAGACGTAAGTACCATGGGCCATACTACCTAACAGACCGCATTTACCCAAGGTGGTCATCATTTGTCAAAACAGTGCCACGTCCGTGAAGTGCAAAGGAAAAACACTTTGCAAGCTGTCAAGAGGGGTGTAGGAAGAATATGGAGCATTGTTTTGGTATCCTCCAAGCTCGTTGGGTGATTGTCAGGGGTGTTGCCAGAATGTTTAATTTAGAGTCGCTTCGATCCATCATGATGACGTGCATCATTCTTCACAACATGATTGTGGAAGATGAGTATGATTATGATGCCGTTGATGAATATGAGCCAAACACGATGAACAATTCTAGAACACAAATATATTGTGCTCATGACGCCACCGAAGAACCCGTACAACACTAGCTATTACAAAAGGATGGACGTTACAATGAAAGGCTTATTCAACAATATACTACAATTCAGGACCCATATATGCACAATGAAAGGCAAATTGACTTGATAGAGCACCAATGAGAATTGAAACAAGCTCAAGAAACTTAAGTTCATTTAGTGTGTTTGTTTTTATTGGTGTGTTTATTTAATTTTATTTGGAGTATTTTTTAAGTTCAGTTAGTGAGTTTTTTTTTTTTTTTTGGTGTGTTTGTAATTTTATTTGGTATGTTTATGTAATTTTATTTGATGTGTTTATGTCCTTTGAATAAAGATTCTCCTAGTCTAAATAAATTACTAAATTAAATAAAATACTAAATTCAAAAAATTGGAAACAACAAAAAGTACTCTATTTAATAAATAAGAAATTACAACCCAAAGTGATTGGAAAATTATGGGCTCTGATTAAAAACAAATTGCCTAGTCCCTTGTGAACGGAAAATCATCACCTAACCAATTTGTGGTGCTAGGATCATCTCCTCTTGTGGTGCTAGGACCATCTCCTCTTGCTCTCGCTTCCCTTGCATGCCTCATTTGCACCACGTCCGCTTTCTCCGAATTCCAAAAATATTTAGAATTCGGTGACTTCCCCTTTAAAGGCTCCTTCATAATGTCACGATCTTGTTGAGCCCTTCTTTCTTCTTTAATCTCTTCCCTTTCTTGCCTAAGTAGCTCTTTTTCTCTCTCATTAGCTTGAAATAATCTCTCAACAGCTACAACTATTGCCTTCTCTCTAGCCTTATCAGCCTCAAATTTAGCCATTTCTTACGCTAAAGTCAATTCACGTTGGCAAGCAAGTTCTTCCATATATTTTGCATAATCGTTCTTGGAAGCATTCCTTTTTCTCTTTGAAGCCTTCTTACCTTGAGGCCTAATTGGATAACTCGTCGACCCTGAAGCTTGTTCAGGGGGCGTTTCCAGTACTTCTTCTATGTCATCTTCATGAACATGCGAGGCATGATCGGGCGTAGAGTGTAGATGAGTACTATTTACGACAACTTCTGGACCGACATGCACAACTCTGAATTTAGGACAATCTTTGACAATATTCCAACATTCCCACCGGTTGAATGATTTGTTTTTGTTTTTGGTTTTGGCATTATACCAAGCTTGTGACACAATGTGGGAGAAGAAATAATTATAATCAAAGTAGCTAATGTAAATTTGGGTATAGTACATAGAAATAAATAATATATTGTTACCTGATCCGCTAAATTTTCCCCACTTCAAAGATTACTACTAGCTTGTGGCAAGACGTCTCTCCACATACTAAATGATTGGTTGAGTATTCTCCAACGACTGGACATCGATTCTTTGGTCCTTTTCCCACCAATTTTCTCAAGATAATTGGTATGAATAAGACTCCACATTTTCCGCAACTGCAT